CCCCCCCCCCCCCCCCCCCCCCCCCCCCCCCCCCCCCCCCCCCCACGGCCCAACCCCCCCCCCCCCCCCCGCCATCACCCCCTCCATCCCCAGCCAGCAGCGAGGTCCAGACCTGTGCCTCCCAGACGACAAGAGGAGAGAAACCACACCCCTGCTCCTTGCCTTCCAAGGAGGCTCTCCCACCCCTTTCTCTTCATGGACCTCACAGGGAAAGAAAGAGAACCTGGCTCTTAGGCCTGGGCTAGCGGCTCCCAGATTCTGCTCCAACCCCTGGCGCTCCTTGAGAGCCTTTAGTGGACTGTAAGTCTTTTACTGGCCCCAAGCTCCTCCCTATTGCAGGTGCAGATGCTGTGCCAGATGCTATCTGGACTCCAGGGGAGGCAACCACCCCAGGGAATGGCACAGCAATGTGGACCCTATACTGACCTTTCAGCAGAAAGCAGTAATGGAAACCAGACACACTGCTGGTATCTGATGTGCATGCAGGGCCCTCTTCTTCCAGGAAGCCAGGCTGCAGCCATCACCTCCAGGCCTGACCACAGGTGTGGGCCTGGAGCCCTGCGAGGGAGTGGGACATGCCCAGAGGGGTTACTGCTTATTGCTCCAGTGATGTCACAGGCTGTAATGTCACAGCCACCTCTCCTTGCTTCCTTCTCCTCTGATAAGGATGCTCAGGATAGCCTGGAGGGCCGTGAGCAGAATGGAAAGACCCCCACATGGTTGGAGCCGCCTGAGCATCTCATGTAGACACTGCTCCACTGCAGAGCTTGCAGTCAGTCAGTGGCTGCGGCATTCCTCATCAGCCCTCCAGGACCTTCTGAAGCTCAGATGACCACAATCCCCACTCACAAGCCACATACCCAAAGGAGACAAAAATCACAACCCTGTTCAGACTGAGGGTCGTGTGTCTCAGCCCACAGAGACATACCCCGCCCTCCACTCCAAACAGGGTCGTCATGAACAACATCACAGCTAGAGGCAGGCTCAGGATCGACCCATGCAGCCACCTTGGGCACATGTCCCAAGCCTCTAGCAGCCAACCAGACTCAGACTCCTCTACCACTCAGGACCAGCCACTCCTGGCCTTCTGTGGGCCCATCTTCAGAGGCAGCTGGGGGGTTCCAGCACCTCAGCTCCAGCATGAGCCCAGGCGGGGAAGTTTGGTGCCAATAGTGAAAGACATAGAGCATCTTGGAGACCCCTACCCACACCAAAGCAGTGCAGGAGGTGTTTGTGCCCAGGCCAGAGCCATAGTGTGAGCTCCCACACCACCCACGGACTGGATGCAGATCTTGAAGACCACAGAGAAGGTCCACACAGCAATGCAAGGTCCTCTGTCATGGTCAGCCAAGAAGCGGGGAGATTGGCCTGTCTGGATGCCCAGATGTCCACCCCCAAGTGCTTGCAGTCAGGCAGCAGCAACCCAAAGCCTGAGTGATGGGCAGGCTTTGATGGAGAAGGGGGTAGAGAGAGAAGGGCAGGAGGAGGGCAGAGGAGAAGGGGACGAGGGGAGGATGGAGATCGGGATCTGCCTCCTCCAGCTAGTGGAAGCTGCTCAGGAGCTGGCTGCGGGCCACTGATACACATTTCAGAATTTAGTCAGTCAGTGTGTCCTCTGGGCCTAGCCCACCTTCCCCTACTGGCTGCTTCAGGGCTGTAGACCAGACTGACTCTAGCTCAGGTGACTCCATGGTAGCGACAGGCACACTTGCTCCTCTAGCTATCTCCAAGCCCCTGAGGTCCTGCGGTCTCCTGGGCTCCCCCTGGGTCCTGTGGGCATTACTAGCAGTGGAGGGGCTAGGACAGAGGTGCCCCTGACTCTGGCTCCCAGCCCCAGTAACCAGGTCAGGATAAGCATGTCCTGGAGCTTTGGACTTCTCCCTCCAGGAGCACCTCTCTAGCCCTTGGCACAGAGAACAGCAGGAGGCCTGGCTTGCCATGCTTAGTTCTGTAATATCAGCCAGCTGCCCCTCCTGGGGCCTCTGCTCCCCACACCTATCCCCTGTCCCCAGAACCCTTCCTACTGTGGCCAGAGGCAGACGAGAAAATCCATGTCTAGTCTCCAAGGAAGGCAGAGTGCTGGGGCCAGACAACTGACATAACTGGGACCCTCCACAGAGGGTTGGGGGCTTTGGGGCCAATTGTTGGCTTTTTTGAATGTAAAATATGGAAAGTTCTAGTCTCCAAGGAAGGCAGAGTGCTGGGGCCAGACAACTGACATAACTGGGACCCTCCACCAAGGGTTGGGGGCTTTGGGGCCAATTGTTGGCTTTTTTGAATGTAAAATATGGAAAGTGCCGAGCCCTGCCCCACTAAACCTCAGTCTCTTCATCTATGCCCATGGGACAGTAATAACACCTTCCATGGCTGGGGAGAAGGAATGAGATAACTTTGGAGAGAGCCTGTCACTGTGCCTAGCAAATAGAATGTCTGCTTTTCCTTTTCCCTGCTAGACACTTTTCTAGTCCTGGACTACTCTATTCCTACGCTAAAAGGAAACTTCTGGGTATGCTGGTTTTCAGCCAGGCATTAGGAGCTTGGTGCAGAACGACTCCTGCCAGAGGAGGCAATGTTTAACCCACTGCAAGGAGGTGCTTATGGGGCAGCAAGGGACATATTTCTGGCTAGCTGGCAGCCTTTCTGGGCACCTCCCACGTCCCACCCTGTGCTTGACTGTCCCTATGCACAAGACTGATTCTAGAATCTGTGAAAAGATTTGCTGCTCCATTTCGCACAAATAGTAGTGCCTGACTGGGAGACTTGGGGAGAGGGTAGCCGGATGTTTTCCCCAGAGGAGCATGAGGCCCCCGCCAACCCAGCCCGCTGTCCTAGCCCCCTCCATTCCCACTCCCTCCCCTCCCCCTCCTCCATCCGAGGAACATCTGGTTCCAATCTGCTCCAGATGCTGTGGCCAAGCTGTTTTATGGCCAATCACCTCAGCTCAGCTTCCTGAAGGCCTCCTTCCATTTCAGGGAATGGTCCCTCCTTGTCCCTTTCTTTGGGATCCCAGCCACCTCTTCTCCTAACATGGAGAAGAGATGCATACCAAAGCCAGACAAAACTGTGAGGGTCCTCAGAGCTGGCTCCCCTACTTCCACCGCTTTATGGAGGGCAGCAGGGGTGGGGGAGCTGGCCCAGGAGGAAAGAAATGGACGGGGAAGCAAGGGTGCACATCTGCACAGAGGGGAATGTGAGCTGTGCATGAGTCGGGGGGTGGGAGCAGCCCACCTGTAACCCAGAGCCTCCCCTCTACAGCCTCGTTGCCCCTCCCTGCCTGCACTGGAGGCAGAGCTAACTCAGGGCCCTTCAGCTGCACGGTGGCAGCTACAGTCCAGGGCTGTCCCTTACCTTGGAGCTATCTTGGCCTCCTAGGCTGTCCTCTAAATCCAGCCCAGGGAGGATGTGTGCATGTGTGTGCATGTGTGTGCACTCCCATGTATACCTCTCCCCTTCCACCAGGTCAGATGAGACCCCGGGCCAAAAAGGACCCCAGGGCGGACTCTGGCGGGCACCCTGACCCAGCTCGGTCAGGTGGGTGCTTCAAGCAGCCCAGGGCTGGCCATGTGCCAGGGAGTGGCCATCTGGATGGCGGAAAGGGAAGCAGCTTCTCTGGAGGGACCTGCATGGCCCCTTTTAACACTCCCCTCACCTCTGTTCACTGCTCTCATCCCCCACTAAGAGGATTCTGGGAGCCAATCCCTCCTTCCAAGGAACCCAAAAGGGTTCACAAAAGGAAGATTGAAGCTTGCCCCTCTTAAGGACTCTTGAGAGCCTCTCTGTTGGGATGGGGGCAGCCCTGTGCAGGCCTGTCCAGAGGCAGGAGGGCAGAACCTGGAGGCACTCCCCACCCCTGGAATTCTGGACTGCACATCATACCCACTACTCCTTTCAAATAAGCCTCCCTGGCATTTGTGACTCCACAGCCCCCCCTGGCGTTATTCTGGAACTAGGCATGGCCTTGGCTAGCCAGAAGAGATGTGGACGAGACCCCCAGGAGGCCCAGAGTATCTGAGATGGGCCCTGCCCTGGTGGCCCCTGGCATATACAAGGTGGTCAAATGGGAAGATTCCAGTTTCTGAGTCAAATCCTGGGCAATGTCACCTATGGCTGTAAGACACAGGCGAGCCTTCTTTGTGCCTCAGTTTCTTCATTTGTTAAGTGGAAATCATACTGCCCAGGGCCATTGTGAAGACTAAAGGAGCTGATGTGCGTGGAAACACTGGCCGGGTGCCTGGCACATAGTAGGCCCTCAGGAAGAGGTCCTCTGCCCTTCAGCTGTCCTTCCTATCCCAAAGAGGCTGTGCCCCAAGTTCTGGGTGACATGTGTTAGTTTGGCCCTGAGTCAGGCAGTGTCGGTGAGGAGCCGTTGAGTTTTCTGGAGATTTTCTGCTCCAGCAGAGGACCATTCAGTGAGTTCATAATAACAGAGACAGAGGTGACTCAGATCTGTAAACAAGGAGCCCTGCTGGGGGAGGGGACACTCGGGCTCTTGAGAAAGGGAAATTCAGTGGCATCTGGGTCTGAAGCAATGTCACGCTGCTGCGGCAGGCCAGGGGGCCTCAGTCAGGCCTCCAGATTGCTACAGGTCCTTCCATAGGAGGCCTCAGTTTCCCCATATGGGAAGCACCAGGTGGGACCAAAGGACCTCCAAAGTCCCTTCCAAGCTGGACATGCGGTTCTACATTCTGAGGCCACCTCTCACAGTGGGATTTAGGCACTTCCTTGGAGATGATTCCAGGTAGCCTGTCCTGGGGGTAATCCCCATAGGAGTTCCTTTAAGGATTTCACAGCTTGCCCACCCCACCCCTCCCAGGGCCCAGAGAGAGGCCGTGCTATGGTGTGAATGTGTCTCCCCTCATCCAAAAGTCATATGTTGAAATCCTAAGCCCCAAGATGATGGTGTTAGGAGATGGGGCCTTTGCAAGACAATTCGATCATGAGGGTGGAGTCCTCGTGAACGGGATTAGTGAGCTTGTTCGTCCCTTCCACATGTGAGGACACAGTGAAAAGGCTAAGCCAGGAAGCCCTCACCAGACACTGGAACTACTGTCACCTTGATCTTGGACTTCTCAGTCTCCAAAACTGTGAGAGAAAAATTTCTGTTGTTTATAAGCCACACAGCCCATGGTAGTTTAGAGGCCTGAATGGACTCGGACAGGCAGGGCTCAGGCCATGGTGCTTTATTGATGCACATCGCAAGCACAGCACAGGCAGGTGTGCCCCAGTCCAGAGAGGACATGGGGCCAGGGGAGGGCAGCAGCCACCCTGACAGCAATGCTGTCAGCACAGGGGGAAGGGCCTGGGGGCCCATATCCTCTCCTTCTCCAGGCATCTCCCAGAGCCCCTGACCTCCTGACCCAGCCCAGAGACAGCTGACCATGCCACTCCCCCTGGCTACAAAACAGGTGACCTGCTGCCCACCTACCCCTCACCAAGGTATGGCCTTCTTGACCCACCGGCCCCTTCCATCCTTCATCACAGAAATCCAGCTACTGTCCATCATCTGTCATCTCCGGAAGTCACCATGGGGGTTGCTGTCTCCTCCGCCTGACGTCAGCTCTGTCGTTCCCCCAAAAGCTAGCTGCCCCCATTGGCTCCTCCCCCAGCTCTCTACCTGCTACACTTATCTCAGGGAGTCCACCATCACCACCCTTGTGACCCACACAACAGCAGGAACCAGGTAAAATCGCAGAAAGGCCCAGGGAAGACATCACCAGAACTCCCCAGGAGAGGGGCTCCCAGCCAGCAGGGTAGCTGGGAGAGCAGGCCGTGCGGGGGGCAGGCGGGAGGTGGACTGGCCGAGAATCTACAGTCCAGTTCACGTGCACGCACAGTACAGACACGGCACCATGGTGGAGCGGGCGAGCAAAGCACACGGCCAGGTGGGGCGCCGGGGCTCTGCAGGAAGCCCTCTGTTCTCCAGTTCCACGCCAGGCCCCAGCGGGGTAGGAGGCGGCCCACTCCCAGCTGGGGAAGGGGCACCTCTGGGTCTCAGGGGTCTCCTTCCCCCTCCTCGACCCCAGGGGCTGCTGTTCCAGGCCCCAGCACTCTGAATAAAAGAGAAAGTATGCTGGGGTATGTATCATGTCCAGATAAGAGAAAGGAAAAACCCTGACAGCCCAGAGCCCCAAAGCCAAGAGGAAAAATGAGTGTCCCTTTCTAGACAGCAGGAGGAGTGTCCCAAGTGGGCCAGTGGAGAAAGGAAGGGACAGCTCTCCCATGCAGAAAGAGGGTTCTTTGGGGCAAGGAGCAGCCAGGGGTCAGAGCAATACAGGAGACTATTTATAAAGGGAAGGAGTCGGGGCCTGGAGTGGGAAGCCCCTGAGGCCCAGCTCAGTGGGGAGGGGCATTCTGTGGTTGGCCCTGAGTGGGGTGAGGGGGCTCAGGAGGGCATGCCCCACCACTCTCTGCATCTCCTCTGGAGGCAGCCAAGCGACACATGGCCCAGAGAGGCTTCCCTGGGAGAGCCCAGGAGGTGGGCAGATGGTCCTCTGGGAGATGGGGGCCTGGATGGGGCAAAGAACAGCAGGACAGGAAAACCAGAGGAAAGGGGAGTTCTCCAGAAATCCAACCCACTCACCAACCTACTGAGGCTAAGAAGCTTCTCTGAGCCCCCCAGGCCTGGGATGGGCCACACTTACCAAGAGGACCACCAGCTATTGCCTCCAATGCCAAGGGGTGTGGGGAGGGACAGACAGATGGAGTGGAGGGAGTAGGGGGCAGGGGAGAGAAGCCAGCTCCCTGAACCTCAGCCACCCATCTCTGCCCTTCTTGTCATCTCTCCCTAGCCCCCCAGCTCCCCAGGAGTCCCTAGCGGCCCACACTGATGTTGCAGGTCTTGCAGCTGGGGTCTTTCTTGGCATCGGCAGTGGACAGGCTCATGAGCTGGTGCCCACTGATCTCCCCCAGGGTGCCCAGGGACAGGTCAACAGGCTCAGTGTAGATGATCTCCAGGATGAGGTCCTGGGCATGGCGGAAGACCAGCTCCCCGTCCTCCACGCTGCAGGTCAGGAACTTGTTGCAGGCAATGTCCAGGAGGGGCAGGCGGTCGCGGCAGAAGCGGTCCCCCAGGGAGCCCTTAGGCGCCAGCACCAGGATGGCATAGTGGTAGGCCGTGTACATACAGTAGAAGTCCGCAAAGTAGAGGTTGGTGCTGGGGTTGAAGAGGCGCTGGGCGGGGATCTGGAAGCGCCAGCGGCCATAGGGGGAGTCCTGGGGGGGCTGGCCCGTGTTGAACTCAGTGTTGCAGCTGAAGAAGACTCCGTGGAGCATGCCGCTGGTGGGGGAGCCATGGCTGCCGCTGCTGTCCTTCAGGTAGGGCTGCAGCATGTTCCCGCAATGGGTCCTGCCCGGCCCGGGGAGAGATGCCAGAGGAAAGAGAAAATGCCGCCACTTAGCTGGGCTGAGGCTTGGCTGCTGTGTGTGGTCGAGAAGGGAGTGAGCCATCCCAGCTCCCAGCTCTCCCACCAACAGCCGCCTCCACTAGCCACAAATAGAGCATTCCAGAATGCAAGAGCAGGGAGGGCCCTGGAGATGGGCTCATTCAGCCCACTCCTTCACACAGAGGAGATCTGAACCTGTCACTCCCCAGCTCAAAAACCCTTTGATGGGGATTGCATGATTAGCAAGGCCCCTTGTATGTTGTCATGGCCCACCACCTGCCACCCCCCCCCCCCCCCCC